AGCTTCGCAACTAAACCAACCAGCTCAGAGAACACTATTAATTGCGAACCATCCACCTGAACTACAAATCTTCTCTGTTATTTCAAGGGTTAATCATTTTTACTATCTGAAATCTATGCGTGTATTAATTTCAACCTGTTAATATTAGAAAATATTAATTTATATAAATAATGTATTCATTATTAATGATAATTTATCAACTGACAACTGAGTGTAATTATAATAATAACAATAGTAATTTTAGAGTATTTACAGAATGCATAAACTTCTAATGATAATTCAAGATTTGAATATACCTTTTCTTAATAATATTTAAAAATATACTATTATAATTCATTTTTATGATATAATCTACTAAAGTTTAATTAAACTCGTTTTTAGTTTCTAATTTCTTTTTTTTCTTGTCTCTAATAAATAAGCATTCAATGATCAATGATCATTTCTCGCTATACTGATGAACTTAAACAACATTGAGAAGAAGATGATGCGCAAGAAATGATTGTAAAATTCCATTAGAAAGAAACAATTATTCATTACTATTAATTGCAGAATTAATTATTTTAAATTGTTAGTATTACTAATGGTTTTTATGATAAATGCTAATGATTAATTAGGCAAAAAGTAGAATTATGTCGAATATTGTATGTGCATTTTCAAATGAGTTATTGGACATTGAACAGAAAAAACAGATTGAATATATATTCAAAATTAGTATTGCTTAGAAATACTGTATGCATGTACACAGTTGACTTTTAAATTTTAAACGTAATTTGTTGAAATGACTAAACACTTTATATTCACTTTATGTATTTTTGTTTCCCGAGTTTTCTAACGGTTTTTTTTCATTCTCTTCAATATTTCAACCTCCTCCAGTCTATTTGTACTGAAGTATTAGCTCTCATGGTATTATTTGCATTCAATATATATTACACTAGTCATTAAACCTATCCGTTTAGGATATACCTGAGTATTTGCAATTAATAGTGTTCTCTGAGCTGATTGGTTTAGTTGTGGAGCTTTCGTCGTCCCCCTGCTGGACAACATCCCCCTTCAGCGCAATATTTAGCATAAAGTGAAATAATTTAAATACTTTCCATGAGTGATAGAATTGCGTCTCCCGGTGACCATCTTTACATATGTGTATTGATCATTTTCTATCGACTTGAATTTTAAACTTTCTTGCCACATGATTTACTATTTATTACTTGGTATATTTGGTCTATATTAAGGTGTTTATTAATTGCATATTGATTTGAGTAACAGGCTTCTAGGAATTCACTGACTGCACTTTTCGTGATTCGAAATTATCCCAATTCAAACGATGTCCATAATTGTCTATGTGCATTGATATGAAAGAATATATATCATGTCTTGTCAAGGTTGATTTGTGTTCCTGGATTCTGCTTCGAAGAGGACGCCCACTTCGACAACAGATGTAATGCCTGTTACAGTTCATACATGCAATTTATTTTGCAAATGGTATTAATTTATCTCCTGTTTCTGTTGGATCTTTCGGTTTGCATAAGCATATCGAATGAAGTGGTTTGACTAGATGGCTTGTGTGCTATATCTATTATCAAACGGTTTCAGTATTCTAGCTGTTATTTCAGAGATATTTCTCGTGTATGGTAGGATGAATTTCCTTTTGGTCTTTGATGATGGTTCTTGTTGGTGTTTTGATTCGTCTTTAAACACTTTTAGATGAAATTTTGTGGATATATCCATTCTTTTTGAAGACCGTTTGTAGGTATTTTTCTTCCATTCTTTTCAACTTTGGAGTGCTACAATGTGTTTGTACTCTCTTGTGAACGATGTCTGCACACATTTTCTGTGCACAGAATTGGGATAATGTCAAAATTTTAAACAGAGGAAACACGAAAAGTGCAATCAGGGAATTCCTAGAAGCTGGTACTCAAATCAATATGCAATTAATAAACACCTTAATATAGACCAAATATACCAAGTAATAAATAGTAAATCATGTGGCAAGAAAGTTTAAAATTCAAGTCGATAGAAAATGATCAATACACATATGTAAAGATGGTCACGGGAGACGCAATTCTATCACACATGGAAAGTATTTAAATCATTTCACTTTATGCTAAATATTGCGCTGAAGGTGGATGTTGTCCAGCAGGGGGACGATGAAAGCTCCGCAACTAAACCAACCAGCTCAGAGAACACTATTAATTGCAAATCATCCACCTGAACTACAAATCTTCTATATTATTTTACCTGAGTATCACAAACCATTTTCGATTTCGTTCATTTCCTGTGGTTATTATCCTAAATATTCAAATTTTATTGAATGTAGCAGTTACTTAATAGGTAATGCCTAGCAAGGGAATTCAAGACAGACACACACAGTCCATTTGATTTTAGACTTCACAACTAGTAATACCTTCAAGCGAGTATGGTAATGTTCCCATTGTGACTGGAATTCCGTACAAGTTGTTTCAAATGCTAAATCATTATCCATTATACCATTAAGAAATGATAGACACTTTTTGAGCAAAAGTTACCATGTTGTGTTGCTCTATTTGACCGAACTAGCGTACACTTTTTTGCTATTATTTCATCCCATTTATTATTATTGTGTCCTAACGTTATGATTACTCGACATCCACATCTAAGAAGGAGTACGAACGTGTATTCTCGCAGTAGTTTAAATACAAAAGTTGGGTGAATACAATGTATCAGTTGTTATCATGCAGTCTTTAGAGTGATAGACAAATTGAAGTTCGATTACATAGTGAAAGTATAATACGATAATGAATGATATAATTGTTCACTACAACTAATTGGATATCATTTATAGATACTTCTGAATTTTTGATCACACGTCTATTGTTATCATTGTTCCCTTGGGTTCCTAGTAGAACATAGGGCTTCAACTGCACGTCTCCATCCACTTGCTTCTATATTCTGCTCTGCTTTTCACCTGCATCCATGTTAGTCCATACTCTTTCAACTCCTCTTCACTCGATCTCCTTCATGTCACCATCGCTCTAACGACCCACTCGCCGCTTCCCTTTCGGGTTCCACTCGAGCAATGGCCTGATGCGCGCGCGATGTCACCCAGCGGCTTCCTCAACCAGTCTCAAATCCATCTCCACTTTCTCCTGCTGTATATTTGTTGGGCGATCGGTTCTTGTTTTGTTTGTTCCCATAGTTTCTTGTTGGTGATTCTTTTCGGCCCGGCCATCTGATCTTCATTCAGTATAGAGGGATAGTTGACAGTTAGTTGTTAATAGAGGTCTCGTCTGCAATAACCAGCCTGTTGGAAATATTCTCTGTGACCCGCCCGCCCACCAAGTTTCTGATCCGTATAGAAGAACTGACTGACTTGATGTTGTTTGTACTGAAAATCCAACCGATTTTTGCTGTTGATGCTGAGTGACAAAAATTTACATATTAGTTTCAGGTTGGTGAACAGTCTGTTTTCCGCCCTTTCGATTCTCGATTTGACATCCTCGTCCGTTCCTACTGTAATTTTATAAGTCTACACTTTTTTCGTATTTTTCCCAGATTTTCCATTTTGTAGATATTCAGATTAGTTTCAATGCAGATTTCCTCATTATTATTCAAAGCCGAGATATAGTTGGCAGGCATCGCGTCGTAGTTTGAAGTTATTCAACTGTGCACACTTGTAACTTCACCAGGGATGCGACTTAGGACTTCCGTCTTAGTGTGTCACTTTGCTGGTCATCCAATCACTGGGTTAAAATTCACTGATCTGTTAATTATGATTCTTCTCAAAGAGTGTCTAAATAATATCGTTTCATGACGAAACTTGCATTAAAACAAAAATATATATCCACCCGATTAAGAAAGGTGATGTTTGAATGATATGTAAAAAGGCCTGTACTCCCAGGTTTTCCAGTGGTTCTCTAACTGATGTCAGCCCATGATGAAATCTGCCATACAATCACACAAAAACCCTAAAAAACCAATCCTTGAAAATTAATCTGATGCTCACTAGCGACTGGCAGTATTCAGGCAGTTAACCTGGGGTTCTAGTGGGAAGCCGTGACCAGTAAGGTACAGTAGTTATAAGATGAGGCAGTAACTCATCGAAGAAGATACTGCAAAATTGTCGCGCTGTCGTGAATTGGCAGAAGTTGGAATTCAAGCACCACTGGATCGGGTCCCAGTGGTTCAATGGTCTACGAGCTCGCCTTGTAACCAGAAGGTCCTGGGTTCGAGCCCCGGTGAGTGCGTACTGATGAAGAGTCCCAAACTAGGACGAAACGACTGTCCAGTACTCCCAGGTTTTCCAATGGTTCCCTAACTAATGTCAGCTCATGATGAAATCCTGTAAGCAATCAATCAAATCGCAACAAACCAATACTTAAAGCCTTTTTAATAGTTATTTGAGGTCACTTAAAAAATTTACAAGTTTTCTAAGTGCTTTGATAGTATACCCACGGTTGGGACAAGCGAATATGTCCCAAAAATACTCAATACCAGATAGTGAAACATTCTCTGATGATACTGGGGAAGATGGTAAAAAAACACCTGCATAGCCAATTTCTATTACCTCAAAATCTAGGGAATCTTAGACATTTCCAGAAAGACCTGAAAGAATTATCGTGTAAAAACAGGGAGTTCACCGGCTTCGACTTAAAAGTTCGAATAATCACCACTTAAACTGTTATGATTTCTTCTGTTCAAATCACTAGTAATTTAGTTGTTATTACTACTTTGCTTCTATGCATAATATTATCACCAATTTATTATGTAGACGTATTTCTACATAATGTTCATAATATCATAAGTTCAGAGAAATCTTGTTTTGATTTTTTTTTCTTAAACACGCTGGGATTAATGTAAATAATTTATAATGTTAATAAAATCGCTTAGTGTTTGCTTTTCACACATTATTTGGATTAAAGAGCTACTGACTCCTGACTTGCCCTCTTTCTTTCACTGCTTGCATTCCGCGTTTTTCGGAATGATCAGTATCAGTATTGTTTTTACTAAGACTGGCTGACGGTCTTATGCCCAGCCTTCCCTCTTTTCCCGGCCTTGTACTGACAACGTTTAGATGTGCATCAGCCTACAATCAAATCCGAACTTCTTGCTTGGCTGATGAGAGTTCTACTTTTACTACTACTACTACTACTACTACTACTACTACTACTACTACTACTACTACTACTACTACTACTACTACTACTACTACTACTACTACTACTACTACTACTACTACTACTACTACTACTACTACTACTACTACTACTACTACTACTACTACTACTACTACTACTACTACTACTACTACTACTACTACTACTACTACTACTACTACTACTACTACTACTACTACTACTACTACTACTACTACTACTACTACTACTACTACTACTACTACTACTACTACTACTACTACTACTACTACTACTACTACTACTACTACTACTACTACTACTACTACTACTACTACTACTACTACTACTACTACTACTACTACTACTACTACTACTACTACTACTACTACTACTACTACTACTACTACTACTACTACTACTACTACTACTACTACTACTACTACTACTACTACTACTACTACTACTACTACTACTACTACTACTACTACTACTACTACTACTACTACTACTACTACTACTACTACTACTACTACTACTACTACTACTACTACTACTACTACTACTACTACTACTACTACTACTACTACTACTACTACTACTACTACTACTACTACTACTACTACTACTACTACTACTACTACTACTACTACTACTACTACTACTACTACTACTACTACTACTACTACTACTACTACTACTACTACTACTACTACTACTACTACTACTACTACTACTACTACTACTACTACTACTACTACTACTACTACTACTACTACTACTACTACTACTACTACTACTACTACTACTACTACTACTACTACTACTACTACTACTACTACTACTACTACTACTACTACTACTACTACTACTACTACTACTACTACTACTACTACTACTACTACTACTACTACTACTACTACTACTACTACTACTACTACTACTACTACTACTACTACTACTACTACTACTACTACTACTACTACTACTACTACTACTACTACTACTACTACTACTACTACTACTACTACTACTACTACTACTACTACTACTACTACTACTACTACTACTACTACTACTACTACTACTACTACTACTACTACTACTACTACTACTACTACTACTACTACTACTACTACTACTACTACTACTACTACTACTACTACTACTACTACTACTACTACTACTACTACTACTACTACTACTACTACTACTACTACTACTACTACTACTACTACTACTACTACTACTACTACTACTACTACTACTACTACTACTACTACTACTACTACTACTACTACTACTACTACTACTACTACTACTGTAACAGCGAAGACAAGGGCCAGGCAACAGATCGTTTATTAACGAAATCAACACATATTTACAGATTTTCAAGTACATTATTATAGATTATTGTTAGCAGAAAAACCCAGTCGTCTGATTGGTTGTTTCTCACTGCAAGTCAACCTTTCATCTCTTTGTGACTGTTTCTTGAATGTCAGATCATCTATATGTTAACTGTATTTGCCTACGCAAAGCCTGTGTTCTCATTTTTCTCACGACCAATATTGGCGACATAAACATTGATGTAAATTACTGTCCACCAATTTTGACTAACAGCCAGCTCTCACCACACTACTACAATTATTATGTAAGTAATGTCAGTTTGTTAGAAACCTATATTTCTGTAAGTCGGACTACACAATCCTCACACGTTTTATATAATTTCGCTACTCTATATTATGCAGACAGTCCATTTTAGGGTCAACATCATTATTTTAGAGCGTCTAGGTTTATTATCGTACATTTAAATAGTTCGCTTGATTATGACTTAATGCTTCTGCTCTAATTCTTGTCCTCGTAGGAAGCTTCCACTGAAACCCATTTTCTGTATTCTAACTGAGTATTAGGATTTTTAGTTGTTTTTCACCTGAATTCTACGAGAGCATGTGGAATGGATGCGGACTATCGATATTATCAAGTGGCGAGTCAGTAATCTACTCCTGTCTGGTCAACCAATGAAAATCACAAGCACACTGAGGCAGTGAGTGGCTATCGTGATGTGGGTTCAGATCTTCATCTAGTTCAAGGAACCTTCAAGGTGAAGCTGAAATCCTTCGGAACAACTGTAAGCAGACCACAGTTCAGGTCCAGCACTCAGGAGCTGAAGGACAAAATTATAAGGGCTACCTAAACTACAGAACAGATCAGAGCAAAGTCGAAGATACTACGTGGCATTACTGAGGACAACTGTGTGGAAGAACATTGCAACTTTATGAAGGCGATGTTTAGGGAATCGTGTATACCTGTTTTAGGAAGAAGCAATAGACAATACAAGGAATGGCTCTCTGAGGAGACATCAAAGCTAGTAGAAGAGACTAGGGTGGGTGGTGAAGTAGAAGATGACCCAATGCAAAGATGGACAACAGAATGAGAAGCTAAGTTCAGTGTACATCTCAACGAATAAAGAAGTAAAGAAGAGTGCTGGGAAAGACAAAAGACAATTCCACTTCACACTAACTGACAACTGAAACAGAACAAGCAGGCGGCAGGAAGGAGAGATCAAAGCACGTGTTATCACATAGTCAGGTCTCTATCCAGGAGAAGATAAACGCATGTGAAACCAATAAAAGATATTCAAGAGAAACTGATTACCAAGGAGTAGACACCAAACAAAACAATGTGGTTATCACTTTAAAGGACTCTTGAATTGACCATCACCTGCAACTCGCCCAGAAACACCACCACCAACAGCACACACAGAACTGCCTACCAGTGGACACCAATCCTCCAAAGATGGCAGAGATTCTGAATGCAATCAAGCTACTGGAGTCCTGGATGGCGTTCATTAGCATCATTCTTCCCAACGCCTAATCGTTTAAGTACTCTGCTCTTCGTCTGTGCATACATCGAAGACTTACTCACTGTGAGTGCAGATGAGGTAGAACATTTGGAATATGTGAAGACCGTATCGGGTGCCATCAGCTTAGACAAATGCGAGTTCGGCAAGACCTCATTGAAATTCCCCGGGCAAAGAAGCAGACCAGTCCGTGATGATATGCAAACCGTTAGGGATTATCCACTACCTAATTCTTTCAAGGAATTGCGACGATTTTCGAATCTCACCAGTTTTTACCTCCGTTTCATTATCAACTGCGGTGCAGTTTCTCAACAGTTAACTAACTGTTTGCGTGCACACATGCATTCTTATCACTTTCCAGCCAAAACTGTTAAACACACGTCAAACGAGAAGATGCTCCTAGTCAGACGCAAAAACGACGCTTCTCTTTCCTTGGTGACGGAAGCCTCGAACTTTGCCATTGGGGCAACAAGTACACGGCGAATGGCAACCCCTTGCATGCTTTTCAAAACGACTGAATCCTACTCACTGTCGCTGAAGCACCTTTGGTACAAAGTTACTAGCAGATTATTTGGCTATCAAACACTTCAGGAACATGCCGGGAAGTACCGCTTTTACTGTCTTTAACGATCATAATGCTCTTACGAAAGCCCGATCAACCAAACAAGGTGACTACTCTCATCGTGAACTACGACATCTTGAATTTACATCCCAATTCTCCGCGGACATTCGACACGTAAAGGGTAACGACAACGAAGCTGCAAGTGCTCTGCCACGTAAGCACTCTGACAACAGCTTATGTCACGATATCCACTTCAAACATCTCACAACCCTACAAGATAATGATGGTGACGTTTACCGGTTGCAAGCCTGAAGACTGATGATGCATTTCTCAAAAGAACTCAGGTGTAGAGTTTACAGGTGGTGAAATAAATCTTAGTATGGTTCCAAAAACTGAACTCGAGCATCCTAGCTCCATTGTGTACTGGAGCTGACTCATAAAGACTGATACCCTCTCACTACCTACCCACCACCCACTGTGTCGACGCTGTCTCACAATACTAAGTTGTTCTAAGAGACCTGAAGTATTAGAAAAAGTGAGGGGTAATGGTTCTCCCTACAATAGCACACGCTACTTACGCATCCAATCTACACTGAGTACTGTTAACAAGCATTCTAAATCGTGCTGTAGCCATATGCGTCGTAATATAAGTGCGAGAACCGTCATCTACGCTACCAAGCAGGCTGAAAAACGTGAGTCAGAAGAGGATGACGACTGTCGTTTCTGGCAAGCCACTCCTGTACTAGGGACCGTGCATCGTATGCGCTTCAGTAGAGATGACGAGGCAGAAACATCTATCATCCCACCAAATGAAGAGCATCTGAGGTCAAAGTATCTGCAACTACAAGCTGCAAAGAGTCCGCCCGTCGTAATGCATGATCACAGACTCCTTGGCCTCACCTCAGAACTTTGTTGATCTTCATGTAGTTTTTCGTCATGATTGATGTGGCGACATGCATTATTGGCATGAATTGTATATAACATGGAACTGTCCATAGATGCGGACAAGTTTAAGGTTACCGACTGTACCTAAGAACTCTTCATCTCTGTCAGTGTCATGCACTCTTCTTGGAAAAATCTCGTCTCCTACACGTCTAATATCCCGTGACTTCCGAAGATATGGGGCCTCTAATATCTCTCATAATATCATAACAGCCATGACAGTTAATTGCAGGAAAACTTCAGGCCAACCCGACTAATATTTAACACATGACTTAAATGGACAAATTCAGACCAACCAAAAGTCTATGGTCCACCTTGAATAACCGAACTTTTGTTTTAATGCATACATATACTACGGCGCCAGGCCATCTTTTTCGCCTGACTGCTTGCATGTGGCTTGCTCCTTCATATGCCATTAATAAGAACACTCCCCGAGCTTGCTCTTCCAGCCTGTCAACAGATAAATTGTGCGTTATTACTACGTATTAACTTTGGTTTGTTTTACTTATTATATAAATAAAATTCATATCAGGGTGCACAACAGTGCATGGGACTTCTACCTGGACTCCATTCATCAGTACTTACATGGTAGGTAGTGTACTGCTCAGAGATAACCAAAAAAGGAAGTTCAGTAGGTACTTACGAGCAAGGCCTATCTAGGGAGGTTGCCTTAGAAAGTTACAACCCATGGACATCACTTCCTGGAAGTTATGCCCGAAAATGAGTGGAATCGACTGAAGGCCTCATTGTGAATATGAAAATTTCATCACTAAAAGGACTTCAGGTCGTTTCCAATTCCGCAAATCCAGGACCTGACCCCACCTTTATTGGGTGGGTTTATCCTGAGTAGGCTCGACCCAAAGCATGTCTGTCACGAGCTCCTTGTCAATGTAGTTGAAGATTGAACGATCAATTCATGTTTGTTTGCTCAAACCCAACTCTATATTTTGGTGGAAGGTATCGATACTCCGGTCATCATTCTATCGTTCGCTGTTCGTTGGAAGACAGAGAAAAACTATCAGAAGTATTATTGTGATTTATTGTCATGACATTTATTCTTAGACTTTGTGTACAATAACCTAATCGTTGGCTCTGTATTGATGCATGAATAAAGGTTTCTTGAGTCACCAATCTGTGTTCTGGTTATTTGCGTTGGTTATTGAGCATAGTTCATGAAAGTCTTCCAAAGACAGCGTGAAGTATAGCGTAGTTAGACCCGGACATTGACACTCCTTGAACACCCTGTTGGTGTTCCAAAGGCTTCATTCATTACACCCTTAGGTTTATTCTGGTCTATTGTTATGTCATTTAACCAGTGCGATATTGTACATCCTCTTCACGGCCTTATTTACTATATCTCAGCGGACAAGACTCTTCCTACGCTTATATGGATGGCATTATGATATGTGATCCGGATGAAGAAACTTATTGAAGTCGTTTATTTTGGAAGATTTATAAACTATCGCAACATTCAGTAACGGTGTTAACCTAGTGACTTTCCTTGAGCGTATAATCCATGAAAGTGACATTTGTTTCTACGTAAAATGTGAGAAAGATTCAAAACATTTTATTACCGACCCTCGAAATTTTTCGTCATTTCCTAGGTGTGACAAGTTACTACAAGCGTTTCACTCTTCATTGTGAGCATATTTCAGCCGAATTAACAGGTGTTGTCAAGCTGCAAAACCATGGTTGTCAATTTAGTTGAAGATTGAACGATCAATTCATGGCTGTTTGCTCAAAACCAACTTCCCCAATTTTCGCGGAGGCATCAATACACCAGTCATCGTCTCATCGGTCGCTGTTCAGAAAGAAGTCAGGAGACAACCGTCAGAAGTAATATTGTGATTTATTATTGTAATATTTGTTCATGGACCTTAGTTTTAAAGCCTAATTTTAAAGTTGGCTAAATGTTGGTGTTACAATAAAGAATTCTCGAGTGGCCAATCGGTGTTTTGGTTTTGCGTCCGTTGTTACTAAGCGTTTCTGAGAAACTTCAAG